CGGGCGTAATAAGTAACGTATGCTACTGCCTGAAAAGCTCTGAACTTATTTAGAGAATCGGCATGTAATTCAAACAATATTTTTACTTATTACACAGAATGTGCCTGCGATTTTTTCACTTTTTTTATTTATATTAAAATTAAAACTCGTGAGACATACCTACTTACTCACATAGGTAACTGTTTGATGAGGAACTCGACTAGTTTCGAGCTATGCTAGGGGCTCATATTCATGAGCAGCATTCCGCAACCCGTCACATTTTTCTCTAATAGCATTATGAAGTCCTAAGCTTTTAAAGAACCGGACAATAGAAATGGACGTGGGGCATAATCCCGGGTTTTTGTGTTTAATTATAGCCTTCAGTTGCTTTTGGTGTTAAAGTCAAACAGACACACCGAACTTTATTACATTGTTAAATTATGCTACATATTTATAAGAAAGTTGTGTGATTGTCACGTAGTTAGCGGTATTGTTTGAGTTATAGTGAAGTGTGCGCCGGAGCACGTTGGCGCCGCGCCGCGCATCGTAGCGCTGCGCATACGCATACTAATCCTATAATAACTACACTTCTACATATGACACGTACTTTTATAAAGGATGCCGAATATTTTGAGTGGCCTTTAAGTGTTTAGTTTGTATAATGAAAATACAATATGCATATATCGTAACTGTTTAAGGGTAGTCGCATTAGCTTAAGTTATTTCAGACGGAAGTCATAATCTTTAATATGTTAAAATTATAATGAATGACTCATTTTAAAATAGGCTAGCAGTGAGTAAAGCTGAAATTCCATTTATTACCTAGTGTTAATTTTAAAATAAATTATTACCAATGCACTTTCTATCTCCATTGAGTAATTTTTTCTTATAATAACTCAGTTTCTGTAAATCTACTATCAAAACCCGGCGCTCAGAATTTGAAAGAGTTTTCCTAATTGAATTCCGACAATTCAAGCATTCAAATCGTTCACAATAAATAGGCAAGCGTGCCCATATTTCCTTGTGTTGCGTTAATAGCCCAATAAATCTTCAGTAATCGATCACCGACGATGCTATGCTCTCCTGGTATCTGTAATTGGTACTTAATAGGCAATCATTGACGTCAAGTGGCTACAACTAGACGTTTCTAAACGCTTCGTAGATAATGCTACAGTTATCTAAACGCTAAATACGTACCCAAAAATGTTCTTCTTTGAATATTATTATAATATTGAAATCATTGTGATTAATATCTGCATGGAAATAGACGTATGGATAGTTGGGGTAGAAGTAGATGTCTAATGCAAATAAATATGGCGACGACCTATAAAGTACCTACACAAAAAATCAGTACCCTTAGTATCAGTTTGTTTTACGTTTAAAGTATTCGAAACGAGTACGCGTTCGGAACTCTGATTGGCCGGCGCCAATGAACCAACCAATCAGAGCGCCGAACGTGTACTCGTTACGATTACTTTAAACGTAAAACAAACTCGTACTAAGGCCTCTGGTCCTTTCGCAGTCGCAATTTTTTTTTTAATACAAAGAATATTTTGAAAGGAAATAAAACTAGAAACATATCATAAATACATTGTGAACATTTTTTTCCATGGTTAATCACAATGGGCCTACGTCAATATTTGTTCGGACGCTGTCGGCCCGCGCCGCCCCCTTTTGCCTCTTCATTATAACTATAATGCATGTTTTATTGAAAACTTTACGCCCACTGTAATTTATATAGCTGCAGTCGTATTTATAAAATATTTTTTATTTACACACTGTATGAAATATGCCAAGTCCTTTTGAGGAACATGATGTTGCGTTGTGATCAATTTTTTCTTTGAATGCTCTCAAAATTCCTGTATGCATTTTCAGTGCGAGATCTTTGAGATGGATTCGAATAAAATTTATTGACTAATTGTATATCACCATTCAATCACTTAAAACACTCCTATTGAATTTCACTCAGCAAAAACTGTCTAATTACAACTTAAAAGCAAAAACCAACAATTGAGACAGTAATAACAGTTAGTTAAGTCTCGCCAGCTGTAACTATCGGGGTTACAATTTATTACAATTAGATCGGTATTTATTGTGTAATTGTTCTTTGTCTAATTATCAATACGATGTACGATCACCTTGCAGAAAATATTTATAACCATCCATTCTTATGCAAGATAAATTAAGAATTAAATAGAAGTATTTCAATTGGCAACATTCTTGCAAATGTTTTATAGCCATTTTTTAAATTGCAAGCCAATGCGCAATGGTTACTTTTGAAAGGAACTTAGCGGTTTTTTATTCTATTCATAGTATAGCTATTTTCTTTTTATTTGCATAGAATGGTCGGTTTTTTCTGTTTCTTTCTACTTATGTTTCAACGGAATGTTATGTTTATTAATAATTTTTATACAAAGTAAGGATGAGTACTTATTTAACCATAACTGCGGTCATTACGGAATGCTATTGGTATTTAGAAATAAAGTTATTTTCTTATCGATTATCATGTTACATGCATTAGGGCTTTAAGGTGTAAAACATTGTTACACAAAAACAGATATATTTAAAATCTATTACTTGTTACAGCATTTTCTTTTACATAAAATCGAAGAAAACCTTTAATATTGTTTCGAAACGATTTCAAATCCTGCTTATGACATTTCATCAGCTAATTCAGTAGCTCATAAACAGTTAATTATATCTTCTTTAATACTTAATTACGTTCTAATAGCAATGTCATCAGTCGCCTATTAAGTATCGCTACTCAACGGCCCATAAAAAACTGGAGTTATTTCTGTACCATCATCTAATGTGCCAGATGTAGGCGTTTCTATTAGAGCTCTCTATATTTTAATTTTCTATACTTATAGAACTTGGTCCTTTGATTCGATCTTGGTCCTTCCTAATACAAATTGCGGACCTAAAGACCACAGATCTTTCGAAGATAGGCAATGTATTTAGTTAAATATTCTATAGTAGACTGTTGGAACTTGATTAACAGGCAAATATGGTTTCTACAAGATGTCTGTGGTCATTGAGCAGCTGTGTGGGACGGCAAACCACAGCTTGGAGTGCTCTTGATGTGTCGCGGTCCTGTACTTTACTTTATCTCTTTATTCTAAGGTTATTTTATTTATAAATGTCTGTCTGTTTGTAAAAGCAAGTAAAAACTAAAACAAACGCGTGTGTAGGCGGCGCCGGTCGCGTAGGGTGACCAAATAACAAACTGGTTTGTGGACACTAAAGCGGTCACTTCGATGCATATGGCATTGTTTGTATCTTGCTAATGTTTGTTTTCATAATTTTATCAATACGTACTGCTCGATTTGCTGTCTGATCTAATTAATATTGCCTAAAATAATTTACTTTGTCTTCTTAGATTTTCAATGTCTTTGAATATATTGATAGTTATTCTGTAAGAACCCTGTGGAAATATCTTACAGGTTTAATCTTATCTTGTACGATCAGCGGAGCCTTCTCCGCCATTTAGGACCGGCTACCAGTCTAACCAGATGCATGCAAATGTCACAAATGTCTTTCGGTTATGCAAGCTAGACTGACATCACACAAGCCATAAACTTGCATCTATAGTGCGTGAATGCTCAACGATCAAGATAAGCTTCTAATTATTACCTAACTCTATACAGGCATGACTGTAATTTACGCTCCGATCGTGCGAAATCTCCTAATCAATTCAGTTTTCATCGTAACCTTTATCTTCTATCAATAAGATGGTAATCTCCCACGAGGACAAGCTCGCAGAACGTCAATAAGTTACTGGAGTTTTATCTCCATCTTAAATCCTTACAGACAATTTTTCGCCGTATATTCGCGAGAGTATCGCGGCTAGATATCACTGTATAAATTAATGGTCGCCTGCCCGGCTGTCCGTATTCTGTACTGTAGGCCTGTGGTCCGGCCCACGGCTCTTACATGTAAAATATCGACTTGTAACCCGATACTGCCTACGTAGGCCGCACCAAACGCTGTCACTTGACAACGTTTTGTGCCTTTTTTGTTACTTTATGTACCTCAATATACTGGCACTACGGGCACAGCTTCCTAGCCACGTCATGTTAGATAGTACTCCCAAACTAGTTTGGTCTTCACCTAGTCATAAAATTAACATAAGATTAGTTGAATGTCATATGTTTGATTGTCTTTACTATGTAAAATCAGCTCGTTTAGATAAAACTTGTCACTTTACACTTTGTTATATAGTTATATGCTTCTTGATTTTATGATTGTAATAGAAGTCGCTTTTCGTATTTAGGCATTTTGCGCTTTAAATACTTGCTGTCTTATGAAATCTAGCCGGGAATAAACCAGCGACATTACGTTCGATGCGAAGGTATTTTATTCACATGCACGGTCAATATTTCCTGCGCATTTACCATTAGCTTATTATGCAAATTGTGCAGAATGTTGACGCCTGCATAATGTCCGCTGCACATTTACGTATTTCGGCCGCAGATTAACGGATATTGATGCCGTCAGCACTTGGTGCTCACACTGGCCAGGTTTCCTAGGCTTAGGCCTAATTCATACAACATGAAGCGTAACTGTATATTATCGTCTCACGTGTAGCTCTACTAATGTCGTGTGTGTTCATGTGTGTATCTGTTAGTGCGGGATTATACTACAAATCAAAGTAAATGTTATAATTTCAAATTATTTATTTTAACTATAAGTAGATTATGCGCCTACTTTATAAGATTTCAGTCAAATAAATACACGATGATTTTAAATTAAATATATCACTAAAATTGTACAACGTTAAGCTATTTACAGTATATCACAAAAATATTATATCGAAACTGCGTCCCTAGCGTATATTAGTATCACTTCTACTTACAGTCTGTCCGATCCGAATGGAATATTTCAGATAGCACTTACTACAACCGTATACTGACACTGTGCCTCGCAACACATGACATGACTACGACTACTGAACGACTGAGGACCGACAACAAGCGTCACACACACGCGGCACTAGCACTCCACACAGCGTCCGCCATCAGCTCACAGCTTCTCGAAGGCGCGCGAGTTGGTGAGCATCTCCCGCGTCAGCCGCCACACCTGCTTGGCGGCGTTCTCCAGCGCCGTCGGGGACTTGCCCTTGAACAGGTCCACGTGCGGGAGGAAGTAATGCGGGCAGCGGCGGCACTGCAGCGACGAGATCAGCTGCAGGAAGATACCGTTGATGCGGTCCCCGATGGCCACCTCGTCCCACTCGTGCTCCCGCGGGTGCTTCTCGCACTCGTACAGCAGTAGCGTCTTCATGTGGTAGCAGGTCACCGGGTTGCCGGGCAGGTCTAAATGTCTGTCGCGAATCGTCTTTAATATACTTAAGCACTTTCGCCGACAGCCGCCCTGCAGCAGACGGTTCTCTGCCTCAAAGAAACTCAACACCCAAGCGTCGCCTTCCATTGCAGAGTTCTTTCCCTGCAGTGCCAGACATTCCTTTGACAGTAAGTCGAAGCCTTCAGTTTTGACCTCAGCCACGATGTTAGGGTGTGGCCAGGGTATGGCGGGCAGCGGCCAGTGCGCCGCGGAGCGCGGCCACAGTCCGGCGCATTTGAATGCGGGCGTTATTTGCACAATATACCGCTCACGAATTCTGAGCTTCACCTCTGTCGTCTCTGCGATCATTTTGACACAATCTCTGTAGGAACACTTGTCGCAAGCTTGTGCGACCAGGGTCTGGAACCTGGAGCGTATCTTCCTGGCGGAGAGGTAGCCCGAGGCGGTGATGAACTCGACCCACAGGGACATGGAGCGCTTCCTGCCGTCACTCAACTTGAGCACAGCGCAGCCGGGCAGGGAGCCGTCGTCCACGAAGTTTAACACGCCCATTTGATTCAAATAAATAACTATTTCAAACTCATGAGGTGACACCACTTCCAGGCCGTCGAACCGGCCATTGTAGTCCGTGAGTGAGGATATGAACCGAGGCTCCTGGAGCTCCACCTCCTTGAGCACATCTTGCACTATCCGGCACACTTCGTGTATGGTCTTGGTGATCTGCGCCTTCCTGTTGGCGACCCGCTCGTTGTAGTACTTGTTCATCTGGTAGACGAGCTTGGACTGCGCCGCCATCATCTCAGGAGGCACGAGCATGGTGACTGTATGTAGCGTCTCTACGCGGAGTGCATCGTACGCCGGCGGCGGTGTACGCACGCGCACGGCACGCGGTTCTTTGCCGACTGAGCCATGTCGGATTACCCGACTGTGAAGGCCGGAGTACGCCCATCCAGATGCGTATCAACGAATGAGCTACTCGGATTCTGTCTCTTTCGCTCCTTAGTGCGTTGGGGGCGTGTCGGAAAGGGACGCAGCTATTTCCCTTCAGTGCCATTAGGTGGCTGTACTCGTATTGATCGCGGCCTGGCCCCGCCCCGCGCGCGGTGTAGGTATCGCGCGCGTTGGCTGGAGGTGTCCGTAATTACATGATTGCGTTAGTTGGTCGCTCGTTAATTCGGTAGCAGTAACAAGTTTGGCTCTATTAATGAGGATATTTTTTACAGCCGCTTGTTATCTTGATTCTAATTGGGTCTATTAATTCAATTTTAGGCGGACTATAATGTCGTGTATAGGTAACCTAACAAGATAATTGGGCGACTTGCATTTAATTTTAAATGTCCACTACTGATTTTATGGGCAACGTAAATTATTTTTACACTTATTAAATTTTTTGTAAGCGATTGTAAAGTAGACAAATAAAAATAATTAAAATTGCGTGAAATTAAATTATTTACATGTATTACTTAATTATCTACATACTGAGTCCTTAATTAGGTGGTTCTGTTTCTGTTAAGTCAATTGCGGGAGACAACATTGCACTTCTTGTACTTCTGTAGAGCCTCTACAAAATTATTTTGTATTAATGTCCTTAATAACTAAGTATAATTTTGTTTTGTTATTTCAACATTCTAAAGTAAAGTGTTAAATGGGACTAAAAAGTCCGAAACTAAAAGTTTTCCTATTTTATATACGTTTTATCCTACTTTGAAAATAGCAATAAATGTTTAGATGTCAATATTAAGCGATATGAAACTAAATGTTTCTTCTAACTGTAGGTTCGCAGAAGTACCTAGCGTTTCTTCCAGTAAATCCGCAACACAAAGGACATACAAGAGTTGTTTCTATACACTATATCTATCTACAAAAAATATCTTTGCAAATATGCTTCCAACGTTGATTTTAAACTTACAACTCCCACCTACCATAGGCTCCCTTATTGACGGAACAGTCTCGTTGTGTAAACAACAGTAGCAGCAGGAATGTTGAATAGCTATGAACAAAGCTATTTAAATAACTTGAGCATTCCCTAGAGCTTCATAAAGTGTAGCACGACTAGCTAACGATCCTCTCAAATATTCTCCGTACGTCCCTTAGGTGAGAAGATGTCCAAGTTTAGCTATACACCGCCGGACTATTTCGGTCGTCGCGCGATTGATGGGACGGAGTCGCGTGATGGATGGGACGACGCGGCTTGATTTACGTCCCGGCTCACTCCTGACGATTCATGCGATCCTGGTATACGGCCGGGATAGTTCAGGAGACGGAAAAGGAAATAAACTTGCCTTATAACCAGGAATTTTAATCGTTGTAATAATTTTCTTAAATTAAACATAACGGCCTGCTATTTTTGTGACTTGTAGCTCCACTTTTGTTTTGAATATTAATCCTTTCATGCGAAGAGTTATGTTGGCCTCTCAATATAAATTGAAACGTATTTTATTGCGACATCAAAATGAAAAGTAACAACACGCCTAACGTTTCAAACGAGGACTGTATCATTTAAGTATCACCAAAATAAATTCATAAGTATTTAAATGACGTATCATTTTAATTCTGTGATTAGTGTCGGGGGTCTGTTGTTTCAAAAATCTGGGTTTACCTATAGATGAACCTACCATTTCTTCTGAAGACATTTAATGAAACTAAGAGAACTTCGGAAGAGTAAAGTTACAGGACTGTTACACGGCCATTTGATTTATTATGAATCTGAAAGAGGATTGAACCACGATACTTCGGAACAAATCGTACCTATCTCCAAAATAAATGCTTCTCACATACATGAGCGATATACGCTGGTATTAATGGTGCCCACGCCGACGTACGCAACAATTTATAACGATATCGCCGCGTACAGTAATCCCACATCAACTCCGCGGGAATATTATCCATATATTTCAGCATAAGCCTCTGAGGAATATAAAAAGTTCCCGAAATTCGGTTCGCTACGATATTCCGCTTTGTTTATTATTTTATAAAGTCGTCCGCCGTCGGCGCGCACGCGCGATCGCCGCAAAATGGCGGCTTTTACGCTCCGCCTACTTCCGCCGGATGTCCGCTGCCAGCTCGCCCTAATGAACAAAGCCACCCTTTTACTCGATTTTATTTTTTGATACTGTATGTAGGTAAGAATATTTTTATTTCATGACTTACTTGCTGTATGGATATCTTCCTATGACATATAAATAATGTTTAATTGCCACTTGTCCAGTATTCTTATTATTTATCCACATCATTATATAATGAATATACTTACATTAATTGTATTAGCTGTAAAATGCAAAAATGTGTCGTTCCACCTAACAACTGCAGTTATTCTATAACTATTTTTCATATTTTTAATTTTAAATTAAAGAAACGCTTTTGACAAATCCTGTTACAAATGAGTAAATCAGGCAACAAGAGATCCTTGTTAATTTTGTTGTGTAGTTCCCATAAATTGATTACAGAACTCCTACAGTTATCTATATTCCTGTTTTACATGAGTTTATTTATTTATTTATTAAATGGTGAATCAACATTATATTAATTGAGCAGTAAAATTGTAACATTGAGCCACTTACAGATTCACACGAATACTGACTTAATAGGTATCTAACAGCTAAGACAACAAAAAATCATAAAAATATCAAAGACAATAAGGCACACAGCAAAAAAAAAAATAGGTGAATACATATTTAGAAAAAAACAAAAATTAGTTATAATAAAGTCAAACTTCACTTATCATAGTTCTAGCTTTCCTCAGGCTTGTACAAAAGATATCTACATCATGCTTGCTACTGAAGCTCGACACAAAAAATAATTTTGCTTGTAATGTTGTAGTTACTATTTACTAACTGAGTACAAAGAGGTTTGTGGTTCCTAAAGAATTTCGAGGGAATATTGAGGGATAACTTTTCAAGGAGTTCAGGGCAGTTTTACATAAGTACTTACCTACTTAGAATAATGCCGTGTGGGTAATAACTAATAGGTAAGTAATACAATTTAAACAAAAATATGAAACAATATTTGCTATCAGGAAATTTATTTTTTTACATGAATTCGTAGTAAGAAAGGAACATAAAAGGACTAATACTTCAAATAATGCAATAACATAACATAAGATCACGCCTTTCATCCCCGAAGGGGTAGGCAGAGGACACATTATACGGCACTTAATGCCACTGTACAATGCAACATCCACTTTTCACTATTTATGTTATGAGTCCCATGTAATATAGGGTGAGCCTATTGCCATATACCGGGCACATTTCCACACACATTTCCGTGCTACTACTGAGATTTTTAAAAACCCAGTAATACTTTGCCCGACCCGGGAATCGAACCCGAGACACCTTGTCCGGCAGTTGTATACTTACTGTAGGGACACTTACGTACACATCTATGTAAATGCATGTGCATGGCTGTGTGCGTAGGGCGTCGTATCATATTGCTATTCCCTCCTTAAATTAGAATAAAGACCAGTCTTCATATAACGGTGTGCCGGGCCGGTACTTTTGTTAAACTTGCATTTTGTATGATAATTTCGTGTGTCTTAATGTGAACAATATAATTTACCAGTGGCGTTCTGAACTTTCATTTATCTCTGACATTCATATAGACACAACCCCAAAATTGGTGACCCCGACAAAGAACATTTTGTGAGTGAGTTCCGTTTTATCCAAAAATGATGGAGTCACCGGCAGCACCCGTTCCACCGTCAGAAGTGTTAGCAATTTCGATTTCGTCACGCATTCCGGAATTATGGATTGATCAACCTCGTGTGTGGTTTATACGTGTGGAAGCTATTTTGGCACCTCAGAAATTAGGAGATGACGCAAGATTCGATTTGGTGGTATCAAAATTACCCAAGGATGTTATTGCGCAGTTGTCAGATTTCCTATCAAAACCTCCCGAAACTGGCAAGTTCATGGCCTTGAAGACGAAATTGCTTACACTACTGGAAGACTCAAAAACCCGGCAAATTGAAAAACTCATCGGCGAAATGGAGCTGGGCGATCAAAAGCCCTCTCAGCTCCTGCACCGAATGCGAGATTTGGCCCGAGATAAAATACCGGACGATACCTTGAGAGTCTTATGGCAGGGGCATCTACCTGCAACCGTACGAGCAGTCTTAGTGGTGTCAGAAACGAAGGGATTGGACAATTTAGCGGTCATTGCAGACAACGTCGCGGAAGCAACGCGAATTAGCCATGTTTCTGAATTAGCTCAGACGCCGACCTCATCCTCGCGAGGACAACCTGAAAACACCTGCAATGTAGCGAGTATCGCAGCTGAGCTTGCTAAAATCAACGCCAGGCTGAATAATTTGGAACACTGAATAATTTACTTTCGACCACTCGGCCAACGAGGCAGTATTTAATAGTATCTGTAAAAAAAAAGTCAGAATAGGTATTCTTGAGCATCCACAGTTGGCAAACCAACAATGCTAATATGGACTGGCACTGCTTTATCTTGGACAAATACAAATTGACATAATCAAATACTTATTCAGTCTCACATACCAATGCGTTTTGTTCAACAAAAAACAATCGTTAATTCACAGCCAGATGATATTGCAATCACGTACAAAATATACTAGCGCCGCTCATTTAGCCGAGAGGAGCAGAATTTATAACTAGCATAATGACAAACAACATTTGGTTGGCTAATAACACAGCTAAATCAAATGTTTGGATTCGAGGAGTCACTCGATTTAATAATAACAGTTGGGACGTCGCGCCGGCTCTCGTCGCCGCTCTATCATCACGCGTGTGCAAACACACTGACAGACAGCATTGTATGGGCACACGTCGCGGCTTCGTAGGCAGAACCTTATT